GAGGTTATACACAAAATGAGAAAAGGTACCTTTACATTTACCATGATCGAGTTAACGAAAAACTTTAAGTGGGGATATGTGAGGGGGATACAGTGCCTTTATTGCTGATGACACAGACCTGCTCAAATTGACGATTCTGCAGCTCACGTCTCCAGCGAATACCTTCGCAGGATAATAGATAACGGTCAACTCGATCACCCTTCTCTTCGAGCAACATATGATTCAACTCTGAACGAAAGGTGAGATCGGAAAATCAAATACTTGGAAAGGTCACCTACTTTTTTCTTTCAAGTACCTACAGAGGTACATATCAAATTCGTCAGCATAGTACCGTCGTTTATATTCATCCAGTCTAGCACGGCGATCAGCATCATCGAGTTGAAGGCAAACTTTTATCAGTACTTTGAAATCCTGAAAAAGGGGATGACCCGCTAGATGCTCTCTAGAATACAGTATTCAAACCTTGAATTGTTCTGCTAGATCCACTGCTACATCATACTCTCCAAGATCGTACAAAGCCACAATGACTTCATGACCATCTATGGGTTCATGACATTCGCTAAGGTGGAATCTTGCCAAACTGGGGAAGAAAAAATAAGTTGGGGTTAACTACACAAAATATGTAGAAAAATGAACACTACCTGATAACGTAATCTCTCAACTGAAGGCGCTGACTTTGAGATAAGTCTTGCCCCTGCAGCTCATTAAGAAGAATTTTGCACTAAAGAGTTAACATCTGGGTATAAGTGTTTTTGAAGGAGAGATTAGCTTTAACCTACCGCAAGCAGATATGCGTTAGAAATTGCTCCGGTTGTCCATTGCAAGTCACCATCTGACCTTATCGAAGATTTCCTAAAAGTATCCATAAAATTCACCATAACCAATTTTTCCGATACCTTCTCTGTGCTTTGATGGCATTCATGAAAGTCAGCAGTAAGTCTGCACATAGAATAATTAATCGCTGTTTTGCATCTTTATCAACAGCACGTCGCATGAGCTCACGAACGGTTTCGATGCATGCCGTAGGCAGCTTGTGTATTATGGATAACTGTAAATACATGACTAAGAAAATCTGGAGGAATCAAACACATCCACATGCAAGATTATAAAAACGATTATCATAATACTAACCGCCGAGTATATATTTGACTCATACACGTATGGTGCATCGGCAATGGTCTCCAGTTTCTTGGTGACTTGGTCCATCAATTCAGCACGATCTTCGCGCATGCTTTCCCATTGCCACAAAGCAATAGCAGCAGCAACTCGTTCGCTCATCTACAAAGTTGTTAAATTTACATTGAGACCGGTGGAAACTGGAACTGTCATTCTCCGTGAAATCAGATTTTTCTTAAAAAAAATTATGATGACAATGAAATTATGATACCTCCGTCAGAATGGAGGAGCCTGTTCGGGAATTTGTGAGCGATGATATAAGGACCTTCGTAGGAGCAACCTGAAGCACTGAAAAAGATTCCAACACCTTAGAAAAAAAGGGGCTTACCCTGTCGTAAATATTTATATGTTTGAGAAATAATAGAGTCCGATTGCAGATAATTCGTTTTTTACCAAGCCCTTTGTCTGGGTGAGATCCAACTGAAAGGACCTCGTAGTCATCATATAAGACAACGCGTCAAGTACCACACCTGGTAGATCCAAGACGTTTTTCAAAAAAGTGTACACTAAAGCTGTAAGTTCGTTGTCCGTCTTACTTAGGAGAGGTTTCATAACCTCGCATGCTTCTACCTAA